CCCCGCCGTCAAAAAAAAGGAATATTCGTCATTATTGTTTATCCCTCAGGGAGGTATGCAGATGTAGTCACTTCATCTTTGTCTTGAGGCCGGGCCTTCAATGAATGCACATCCATCCACAGTTGTAATATGTTCTCGTTTTTTGCTCTTTTTCTGAGGGCCTAGCCCTGCCTGACTGCCTGTGACATTTCTACCTAATGTAGCTGTCTGTAATATTGAGATGCTTCTTTCCTTTATTCTTTATAGGGTTGAGTATTTTCTCTTTGTGGATGTTTTACAAGCAGTTTGTATAGAAAAAATTCAGTTTCTCTGTGGAAGAATGACTTAATTTTAGCAATTAGTGCAGGGGGAAGTAATGATTCTGCAGGGCTGTGGTTGGGTGCTTAGTTCAGAAATGTAAAGGTTAAAGGGAATCTAAAAGTTAGGTCCCACTCTCGTTGAAAGAGGGTAAATCTATACCCTCAGGACATATGGTTGACTGTCCTAGAGATACAAAATTCCTTGAGGGATTTCTTGATTGCTGTTAGTCCAGATGCTTTAGGATCTCTGCAGTTACGATTTTCCCATCATTGACGTGATTAGATGTACCTCTGACTATGCCTTCGGCCATTACCTTTTTAAGTCTGTTCTTAGCCAAAGATGTGACAACATTCTGTGATGGAGCCACAAGGTTCATTTTCTGTATGTATGTATTCTCATTGCAACATTTGGAGACTGAGTTTAAATTAATCATGATTAAGGCTCCTTTTTTGAAATTTAAGACCTCATATGCTATGGTTGTACTTAAAGCCCAAAAACCTACATGCAGAAAGTTACATATCATTTGCTGGCCAAGTGTTGGTGGTCATGTATTTATATTGCTTTCAGTTAATGAAATAAAAGTGTGCATACAAGTGTTATTTGGAAGATGCATGGATCTCAGTTTGAGTGAGTTTCTTGTGTGGCATCCGAATCAGGGACTTGACTGCTTCCTCGTTTTGCTGGATAAGATGAGAGATGCTTGTCCCTCCCCGGCCTCTGTGTGTCTCTGCCAGAGTTTACTTTGCAGGGCACATTTGCTGCAATCCTTCGCTGCCTCAGATTTCTGTGGTGCCCTTCAGGATCCTCAGTTAAAAGAACAAAGAGACAGCATTGAAATGCTTTGTGTTTTAAATGAGAAGACTGAGGCCAATTATTGTGGGTCTAAAGTTGCTTTGCGTATATTATAAATTAGCAAACTTACTATGAAATCACTTAAAGGAAAAAATGTTTAAAAATAGTGTAGATCAGTGGTAGTGCGCTTGCCTTGCCTGGGCACGGTCCTGGATTCCAGGCTTAGCAGCACAACCCATCCCCCTTTCAGTGGGAAAAACCATCCTGGCAATAAGGTCCTTCCTGCAGTGCCCCCGCCGTGCCGCCTGCAGTGTTCCTCGCTAGCTGCAGCGCTGTGTGAACTTCCCTACCTCCAGGGCTGCTGTGCTCTCCACACGTATTTGCTGGTCATCCTGTAGCTTCCAGCAAGGTAGGCAGCAGCGGTCCCACTGTGTCCATCTTTGTAAATAAGGAGACTGAGACTCTCATTATAAAACTAGTTACTGGTGGAGTCCTGACTAAAACCACAATCTTTATGCTTTTCTCTCCTCACACTAACTTCAAAAACTTTGATAAAATACATGTACCATAAAACTTAGCATTGTAATTGTTTTAATTATAAAATTCAGTGGCATCAAGTATATTCACATTGTTGCACAACTGTCACTGCTATCCATTTTTAGAAATTTCCATCCTCTCAGTCAGCAACTGTGCTGATACAAACCCATCACTCACTTCTCCAGCCCTGGGAACTTCCATTCTACTTCCTGTCTCTTTAAATGGGTAGTAGGTCCCTCGTACAAGTGGAGTCACAAAACATCAGTACTTTTGTGTCTGGTTTATTTCATTCAGCATAATAGTTTCAGGATTCATCCATGTGGTAGCATGTATCAGGATTTCATTGAGTTTTTAAAAAACTTAACCGTTTTAAGTGTACAGTTCGGTAGGGTTAAGTATATTTACATTGTTAAGCAATGAATCAGGCTGAGTGGTGTTCCTACACTGTTAACCATTCATCCATCTCTGGGCGTTTGGGGTGTTTCCGTCTCTGGGCTATCATGAAGAATTATACTGAGTGAATATTGGTGTCCTTGCACCGACCTTTTTGCTTGACCTCTTTTAAAGAGTATAGGACTTCTAAGTGCATTTTTACCTGTAAACAAAATAAAGTACTGGAGCACTGTAGATGTCAAAAACAATCCTTAAGCCTAAATCTCATTAAATCAAAGGAGACTGTTTGGAATACAAAGAGGTTTAATTATAGGGAACACAAGTGGAAAAAATTAGCCAGAAATTGAATTGTTTTTATTTATTCAAGGAAATAACCAGCAAGTGCCTGTCAAGAATGAAGTAGACAGTTGTGAAACTTTGAAAAAGGTTGACACAAAGTCTTCTTCAGAAAAGAAGATTCACAAAGCATCTAAAGAAGACATATGTTCTGAGAAACAGGACATATCTTCAGTGGAGGTCTGTATGTTCTTCCTTATGTATTAAAAACACAACCCATATTTAGGGCTCAGAATACAAATGTCTATGTAATAAGTCCTTTCTTTTAAATGCATTTGAATCTGTAATAGTAAATTTGATGTGTTTTTCAGAAAGTTTTGTTTATCTTTTAACTACTAAAATAAGTTTTAGTGGAACTAGCTAGCTTTTACACCCTAGCAAAACTATTCTCAAGCAAATGGAGCTGATGCCTAGGTAACAATGGTGGAGCAGAACCAGACCATGGTCTCTTCTACCTAGTTGTTCCCAGTGTCCATTTTGTAGGGTACACTCTTGCAGAGTTGGGTTTCATACATAGGTACATCCTATTTCCTTCAATTGGGCTTGAAGCATAGAGCTGGACAAAGTCAGGAAAATCAAGAGGTACAGCTGAAGCTCGCCTCATACATCTCCATAGGAGCCTGAAACGCAAGGCAGTGGACAGTGTCTTTGAATGAAAATATGAGTAAAGAGTATTCTGTGCAGCCAAGTTTAAACTCAAGTATAGCGGCAGCAGGCAGATGAAATACAACTCATAAGCCTTTCTTAAAACGTCAAGTTAATAAAATTGAGCTCCCAACCAAGACTGAAACAAAAGTACTCAGGATTGGAAAAGCTGTGATAGAGGTCTGTTGGTGAGGTTTTCATCCGTTTTGTATACACAACTAAGATAAAACAGTCGGCAGCTATAACCAAAGAAAAGGCTGCAGATAGAAACAATGTAAAAGTAGTGATATCTGCAAAACATAGGAAGTACAATGGAGAGGTAGGTGAGAACAAGTTTTTAATTTTATTCCTTTTTAGTAGCTAATATATAAAATAAAACTTGTAGTTTAAAAGGGTGATAACTTTAAATATTTTTTTATAGTTTTTTAGAAATGTTTAGAGAGATCCTTAAGGAGCCAGTATATCATGTGTAGAAGAAACAGTTCTTTGAAAGTTGGCAGTTCCTTTGACTTGAGTTTCCTTTTCTTACATTACGTTTGTATAAGACTGCATCCTAAATTTTTATTTAAAAAATAATAATCCCAGTGTTATAAATTATTCCTATTACCTGTCCTTCCATTCTTGTATGTGTGTAGGTTCGTGGAAGAAACTCAGAGATCAGGTTTGCAAGGTCAGCCTTGAGTGTTTTGGAGCCGGGGTGAGAAGGCAGCAGTCTTTCAGCAAGGGTGCTGTTAGTCTGCCAGGGAGTATGGTACCTTTAAGGGCTGTATTTGGGCAGAAGAAGGGGTAAAGAAAAGAAAGACTGGATGAGAGGCTTTTTAAAAGAAAACCCATCAGGACTTCTTAGCAGAAGTATCTGTTTTCAGGTGGACATTTGCAAAAGCGGACTCCAAGGTTTAAAACCTGGGTAACTAGAAGATGAGGAATTCTGATTTATGTGACAAACACATCTGTACGTATTCCAAAGCACTGTCGAAAGTGGGAACCATTTTAGCTATTGCACCCTGTAGGGTTGACGTCTTGAACAGTTACCCTGAGAAATGCTTAGAAAGGCAGTGCTGGCGAAGACCTGACAAGTCAGTACCAAAGAGGTGACAGGTATGACCATGCCCACCACAAGAGCAGAAGGCTGGGTGTGGAGGCAGGTGGTGACCGTGAGGAACCGGTCGGGCTGGAGCTTGGGGTGAGGGCTGGCTCTGGGAGTGGGGCGGCCTTGGTGCTCTAAGGCAGAAGCAGGGCAAAGACTGCAGGCTGGGTGTGAGCCTTCGGCCTCATGGAAGGTGCATGTCGGTCGGGGTGCAGAGAGAGCACAAGTACAGAGAAGCCAAAAGGTGGAAGAACATGCTCTTAGAAGCAGAAATAATCAGCACACATAGGAGACAGGAAGGAATAGGAGGGAATAAAGAAAGTTAGGAGTTGTCTTTTCGGTTTGTTTCGTGATGGTTTGTGTTGGGGGCGGTGCCCTATCAATGAGCTACAGTCCCGGCCCCTGAAGGTGGGACTAGCCTACCGTCCTGTGATGTGGGGTTCGAAGACTTGCCTGGCACCCTGCGGTGAAATAGAAGCCAATGCCAAGATTGTGTTCTGGGGGGACAAATTGGAACTGATGACTCCAGGGTCCTGGCCCTCTGGTAGCACCCTGAGAGCAGCAGTGCCGGTGCTGGCACTCCTCTGCTGTATGAGGTGCCGTTCCCCTGCCCCAGCCCTGCTCCCAGCCAGGTCCTCCCTGGGTCCCCAGCCAGGCATAATCCTCTACACTGGTGCCCTCTTCCCTGGCTTCTTCACCTTGAGCTCCTTGAGGACACGGGCTCGGGGGCTCAGGCAGTTCTTGTACTTGGTCCCTGAGGGTAAGTCAGGTCTCCCCCTGCTGGTCTCTGAGTCTGATCTTTGACACTGGTCCCTACTGGCTTATGTGCCAAGCACATTCGTACATCTTTCAAAGCCATGTTGCAGAAGGGGGATGATGTTAGCTGTCCTGCCTCATTGAGTTGCCAGGGAGGGTGCCCACCGGAGAGGTCTGAGGGACTTGGGCTGGGCCATGCTGCTGAGGGTCATCAGCCATGGTGGGTTTCCTGCTGCAGATGTGGAGGCTGTCGTCTGTCGTTTCTTTGCTTCTTTTATGACTCCCTCTTTTGTAGAACTGTTTCTTAAGGCCCCATGAGTGTGCTTTCCATTTCATTGTTCATTTGCAGAAAGCCATTCTCAATAAACACATTCCCAAGTGCAGTGCTCACTGTTTGTTTTTCTTGAACATTCTTAGGGTCTAACTGCAACCTAGAAAATTGTGTAAATCTGTCTATAGCACACAGAGAACATTCCTTTAGATTTATTGGCAAGGAAGGTTGAAGCCCAGGTTTGGAACCCATAAATTCAATTTTAACTGTACCTCTGGCTTTTTATTTTCTTTTAAGTAGATTTTTTTTTTCCCCTTAGAAAAGTAACTTGTGATTATTATAGAGGCATAAAAAGAAAGAGAAAAAGATCCATCCGAAGTAAACCACTCTTTACATTTTCTATTCTATTTCTTTTCTATGCAAAATTTTAAAAAATCCTTTTATTGGCTTAAGAGCTAGAATGACTCATCACTGTGTATCTGTATAGTTACAATTCTGATTTTCTTATGTGGTGGAAAAATAGGGAACTTTATTTTTAGTGGTTTTATAACATTACTTCATTTAACCATCAATAATTTAAACCATTCTCCTGAAATGGACATTAAAATTGTTTCCAGCTTTTTACTTCCATAACTTACCCTTTGATGAATGATTTCACTCATAACTCTGTCCTATGTTCCTGATATACCCTTGCTGATAGATGTCAAGAAATAGGTGAAAGGGTAGAGATTTTTTGAGGTTCCTCAGGTGTGTTGCCAGATTGCTTTGCAAAATGTTAGTACCCATTTATGTTCTGTGAAAACACTGGCTTCATTCTCCTCTCAGCAACATCAGTTGTTTGTAAAATCTTTTTTGTGTGTGGTGTTGGGGATTGAACCCAGGACCTTGTACGTACCAAGTGTGTGCTGTACCACTGAGCTACATCTAATCCCCTGTTAACAAAACCTTGCTCAGTATGGGAAGTAATCTTAGTTGGTTTGTTTCTGTTTGATGATGGGCATGCTAAGCACACGCTGTACCCCCGAGCCACACCTGCAGCCTCAAGCAGTTGGGTTTTGGTTGTTGTTTTAGTTTGTATCTCACTAGGGAAAGATAAATATTTTCCCTTTTTTTGTAAACTTATAAAAAGTTGAATCTTCTATCCATAATCCTACCACTGAAATGAAATGCTATAAATTAAGAAATAACATTTGTAAATGGTGACTGTAATCATTATATACTGCAAACATGTACTAGTAAAAATTTAAATAAGTAAATATGAGTTAATAAGTAACTATCCAACCAGAGGCAGTCACTATTACAGGATCTTGCTTTCCCAACCTCTGCCTGGTATTTGCAAATGTAGACATGCATTATAAACTCACTTGTGTTTTCTAAAACCAAAATGGAAAAATGAGATACAAGCTAGTCTATAATTTGCCTTTTTAAAATAATATTATTTTATTATGACATATTCTGGATGAATTCATTATGGTATTTTGCCGTTTTCTGTTTCTTTTGTGAATTTGTATTTCATGTCCTTTGTTCATTTTTCTATTAAATATTACTGGGTTTTCTCTTTTCTGTAAGAATGCTTCATATGGCAAGGCATTCTTTGTCCATTAAATATTTTGTGTCAGTTTTTTTCAGCTTGCCCTTTCCCTTTTATTTTTATTCACTTTTACTTCTTACTGTGGTTTTGAGAATGCCTTTGTCCCATCGATCTGTGGTTTCTCCTCTTCGATTTCTTCCTTTGCTTTTATTATCATCATCTCTTTCTTTGCCCTTGACATCCACTCCATTGTCATCTGTCAGGGGGGTCAGAGAAGGTAACCTGTTCATGTGGCTCGGCAGTGACGGTGACAGGGAGGGCCCATGGAGACTGCCCTGCAGGTGCCAGGTCATTTCACCCTAGCGGCCGGTAAGCAGGGGCCAGGTGTGGCCGTGGAGACTGTTCTTGGGAGTATCTCCCTGTGGCTCGGTTTTGTTTCGTGGCCTGCCTTGGCTTCCCGTGTGAGACCCTCTCCCAGAAGCAGAGTCAGCTTTCCTCACTCTGCCTTGTGTTTCTGGACAGGTCTCTTGCTTTGGCTCTCCAGGTTGGTCCTCTGTCCCTTTCCACCTGTTGCCTCACCATGGGCCCGTCACGCCGTGATTCCGCCAGAGCCCTCTTCACTGCCAGTTGGGCTGGGTGTGGTCGAACCTCCCAAAGGAAGAGGCTGTTGCTAATTTTTCCTTTCCCGTTGTGTCGTGTCTTTTTGCTTTTTTGTCCATACCTTCATCCCATCCCCAAGTCTCGGTCCTTACACTCACGACTCTGAGTCCAGCTTGTCCACACACTGCTTCCCTTTCGATCATCCGAGAATTCTGTGCAGCTTCTGACCTCTGCGTCCAGCCTCTCGGTTGTCCTAAATGTATTTACCTTCTTGGTTGCGCAGGCTGACGGTTCAACCATCTTGATGGGGGGAAGCCAAGTGTCAGAGTGACTGATGACCAGCTCACGTTTTTCTGATCCCACTTAGAGACTGATCCTTTATATATGCCTGACCCTGGAGGGCCAGAAAGACTCAAGAACTTCTGTCGACAAGTGTTTGATAGCCTTTGAGTGGACAAGGTGTAGCGGGGAAAGGGGCAGTGCCCACGTACACAAAGTGCATAGAGGGTCAAATACATGAAGGGATGGGAAAGTCCATAAAGGAACAGTCCATGAATAAATGCAGAATATGGGGATTACAGGTGCTACCATGCCCAGCAATTTGTTACTTTTTTTAAAAAAATACTTTTAGAATCAAATACCTACAGGGAAAACTTAAAAGAGCATAAAAGTGAAAAAACAAGTCCTTTAATCTCACCGCATGTACAGTTAAAATTTTAATGTATTTCTAGGATTCTGATATCCTAGACATAGGACAGTAGCGATGTAGTTTGAAAAACTTTTATCTCTTTCCAAGTTCTGTGTGTTAAGTCAAGTGTATACTACAGCTTCCTTTATCCCTAGCCTGATTTCTGCGTCAGCCCTCTCAAAGGGCAGTTTTTGCTTTCCATGAACTATGCGTTGTAAGGGTAAATGACAAGAGGACTTGTGGGCCTGAGGATCTACCTCTGTCGCCTGAGGTCCCTGTCCCTGTGAAGCCTCTAGGCTTCTAGGTGGTTTCTTCCCGAAGGACCTAATACGCTTTTTTAAGCTCTGGTATCTGGGCATGTGAGCTCCCACCCACTCCCACCTCCTGATGGTGGCTCTCCTTTAAGGGGCTGTGGTGGTGGGGGAGAGTAGGTGGTAGAAGATGGGGAAGACTTCACCTGCTTTCACGTGTGAGAGGAAGGGAATGCTCTCCCCTTGCCTGATGGAAGGCCACCCCGACATTGAAAGAGGAAAAAGTGCAAGTAAAAAATAAACACATATATAATACATTTACCATGGATATTATATATCATATTTGCTATATATATGAAATGAAGTTTTTCAGAACCACATTTGGAAAACCTGAAACACCATCCTGCTTTGTTTACATGTGAAGCGTAAGGTAGTTTGGAACGTTCTTTGGAGCTCTGACCGCCCTCCTGAAGTTACGTATAAACAAACAAAACCCATCCGCAGCTGACTCCACAGGGGGGTGTAATCCGCCGCTCTCATAGTAATTCGTAGGAACTGCACACAGCACATGAGCAGGTGGAGGCAGGCGGGTTACTGCTGCTGAAGCCGACAGCACACCGGCCACAAATTGCTAGCAGATGTTTTTCCTCCTTAGCCCCTTAGGAATTTTATAAGCCAAGAGTAGTTTTTTTCTTCTCTTTCTGAGGAGCTTGAGGGAAGTAGGGAAATGAAAACAAACTAAGGATTGAGAAACATATGTCCTGGTTTTCACCAGTGGTGGGATGTTCAGAATACAGATGGAACTGGTCTTCAGAAGTTAAAAAAACAAAAACAGTCGTAGGTTCTTCTTCATCTTGGGTCACTTTAACCACTCAACTTTCTACTCTTTAGCAAGAAGATCTTTACAGGAAGAAGAAGCCTCAGGAGAAAAGGGAAGGAAATGTACAAAATCTAAATTGGAATAAAAATCGAACATGTAGAAAAAACAAGAAAAGAGGCATTGCTCAGGCATTGTCAAGGTATGTATGTCATGTTTACAGTTCCGTTACAGTTCTGATCTAGTTTGTCACTTTAACATCCTGCATTTCACTGTTACCTTTTATTTGTATAAGTTGGATTCATAATGGGAGAGTGTAATGTAGTCTTTTGGGATTGAAATATATTTGTAAACTTTACGTGTTTTCTCAAAAACACCTTAAAGCTTTAGGGAAAAGCCTATGCCGTCCCTCTGTGTCCAGGCCTCTCTTCTGCCTGTGCTGCCAGTGCTAGAGAGAGCCCAGGGGTGGGCAGGCCTCTGTCGCCGTCTCCAGCATAGTCCCCAGCCGTCTGGGCCCCCTGGGCTGGGGACAGTGAGCTAGAGTGGGCACCAGCTCTGTGCCCTGCTCAGTTCTGCGGAAGTGGCTTCTCAGCCGAGGAAGCAAGACACCCGGACAGTGTGGGTTTGTGAAGTATGTGGCTGGTGAGGGTAGAGCCAGGATGGGGCCCAGGCGGTTTGGCATTGTGCTTTGGGAACCAGCTTCCTTGAGGTGTGAAGTCCCCCGCTTGTCTTGTCTATAAAATGAAGGAATTGTGTAGTATTTTGTGGGAATCCTTTACTGCCACAGATAAAGGAAATAGCCTCCTGAATCTAATCTGATATACATTTCTTACCTGGAAGATTGTTTTTTCTTCACCAGGTCAGGGAGGGAGGGAGGGAGGAAGTGTGTGTGTGTGTCTGTACAGCTCCACCAGTGTGTGTGGTCTTGCTTTTCTGATTTCTTACACAAGCCTTCTCACACCGCACACGGACGGACAGGAGCCAGACAGAGAACTGCTCCCCTGCCTTGGTGTCCCCAGGCCTGGGGTGAGCCCTCCTGTTTCTCCCTCACCCCGAGGCTGCCCCTGCTCGGCCTCTCAGTTCCATGCCCTGGCTCCTGTTCACAGCTGCCTGTGAGTGGGCACGAAGGCCTGTTTCCTACCCAGGAGTCTTTCTGTCCTCCTGGCTCAACTTTTTCTTCTGTGTTCTGCTGTCAGAAGATTTCCCTTTCTTATGGACTCAGCTAGGTATTTGAGTGGGTTTGCATTGAGTTTTTCTCTGGCAGCTCCTCGAGGTATGGGTAGCACTCCACGCTGCTGAATGTAGCTGTGGGAAGGGGCCTGCGGTGTGATGCTGTTTTTGTGTTTGTCCCCAGACCCCAAAGAGGCTCAGAATGCATTGCTCAGCTCAGCTCGCATGGCACCACTCCCTGAGGAGTCCCGTGTGCCTCTTGGGTGACAGGCAGAGCTCTGAGTGGTTCCCAAGCTCCTCCTACACCCAGCTTGCATGGGTCAATCAGCAGAATGTAAATGTGAAAGGCTAAATGTACCTTATTAATTCACTCTTGACACCAAACTAGTTACTGAGGGATCATTTTCTGCATTGAAGCCTACATTATTTGGACTAAATTATTTGAAAGCTGCAGTATTTTATAGAAAGGAAAAGTCAGAACTTGCTGTAGTTTTTTTTTTTTTTTACATATATCTTCATAAACATGATTGGCTATGAGATTATTTTAAAGAATTCCATTTTCCTGGATATGAGCATATAGAAAGATATAAAAGAAGAATGCAGTTTTACCAATGAAAAGTTAGGGTACATTTTTAAAAGCAGATTTCTGAGATACTAAAGAAATAATTGAATTGTTAAAAAAAAATAACTTGCAGGTATTCTGCAGCTACTTACAATGTTTTGAGGATGTGGTGCTGAAGAAGTATAGGTGGTAGTTGTTGAATTGTCTTGTTTCTGCCCACCAATTCTTTGTACCCTCATCAGAGGTTGCAGGGAGTTTGTAAACCAGTGAAATAGTTTGTTACATCTCAGATATTTGGTCTTGTTCCCTACCATCCTACAGTCTGACAGTACTGAAATTGGAGCATGTGACAGACTCATTTGATTACTCCCGGAGCATTCTCCATTTCTGTGTTGCTGCTTCCAAACTTATGTTATAAATCTTCCCTCAAGGAGTTCATAGTCTGGTAGGAGAAGTTTGTTTAGCTTGAACATCCTTGGGGGAAGGATTATTGTCCTATAAGCCAGTATAGGTTTCCTGATAATATATAGACGATATAGTCACTCAGCAAATGTTTGCTCAATGAATGAAAACGTGTTTAGCAATCAGTACCTTCTGTGAGATGGCAAGGAGCAGGTTCGTCTACTGTAAATCCAGGTAAACAAGGTAGAAGTCCTGGGTGCTGGTCTTGAACCTGCTACTTTAGCAGTTCACCTTGAGTGCCCTTGTGGAATCCTTCCTCATTCTAAAATATGAAAACAGATTAAATGATGCTAATGTAATTTATGTTCTATAATAGCAGCATGGTTTTTCATTGGTGGAGGTGCTAGGGAGGGAACCCTAGGCTGCATGCATGCTAATTACAAAGTCTACCCCTGATCTACACCTGACCGCATTCCTGAGTCTTTTTCTTTTCTTTTTTTTTTTTGTTTTTTTTTGTTTTTTGTTTTTTTCTCGGTACCAGGGATCAAACTCATGACCTTACGCTTGCCGGACAGGCACTGTGCCACTGAGCTAAATCCCCAGCCCCTTCTTTTTCTCTTTCTTTCTTTTTTCTTTTTGTCGTTTTGAGACAGGGTTTCACTGTGCAGTTCAGGCTGGCCTTGGCTCACTTTGTAGCCCAGGCTAGTCTCGAACTCGCAATGATCCCCCTGCCTGTCTCCCAGGTGTTGGGATTACAGGTGTGCGCCACCACGCCCAGCCCTGGGTCTTTGTCTTATTGCTGTCCTGTACTCACTCATCCTATCCCTCCATAGATCCAAGAAGAGGCAGCCTCAGCTGCTCCCAGATTCATATTTTCACCTCCATTGCAGGACATATTTGTTGCTCATGATAACATGTGATTTTAAAAAATCATTATTTATTTTTATGGCTCCTCCAGGTCTTCTGAACAGAGTGAACTAAAGCTTGTGTGCAGTGACTTTGAGAGGTCTGAGCTGAGAGGAGACATCGATGTGAGAAGCTGGTGTATGCAGGAAAACACTGGGGAGATTTGTAAAGCAGATTTAGTGACCGCAAACAGCTCACTCGATGCAGAGAGAGAGGCAGGTATGTGACAGTGTGAAGCTGAGGACAGGATGGTGGCTCTTTGCAAGAGGAAGTGGCCACAGTGTAGAGGGTGTCATCTCCATGGTCACTTTACCAGCAGCTTGGCCTGTGGAAAGCTGTCTGGGTGAGACCAGAAAGCTAAGATTCTTTTAGAGTCTGGGCAGGCCTTTGTTAGCAGAATCCTGCTGAAATCTGGCCATTCTTGTGCATGTTGCCAAAAAAACAGGATACTTTGTCTAACGCGGTGAGACGGTGCTACCCTAACCCTGAACCTGGTGGTTTCTACAAAGCCAAGCCACTGCCCCATCCAAGGACAGCCGATAGTGTCCTGGAGCATGGCCCAGAAGGGCACCTGCTGCTGGCCCTGGCAGGGTGGAGGAGAGTGGGGCTAGCGGACCTCAGGCGTTGGCATGGGGGTGGGGTCTATGGTTCTCCTGGCCCACCCCTGCTCTCCCCGGGCACACGGCCACGGCCACAGCCATCTCCACCTTCTCTCATCCCCTTGCATTGCTGTTGTTCTCTGGTCTTTTTGAAGATTCTTCCCTCGCACATGTCAGTAATATTTTAACTTGCAATGGACAGCTTAATAAGGAGAGGCAGAAGTTACCTGTAAATCTCTGATCCAATAAAGTAGCCTCAGTTTTCTCACTAGAAGTACTTGTTATTTCTAGAACCATCTTCATTTTATTTTTTTGGTGTTGTTGGGTATTGAGCCCAGGACCCTAAGCATGCTGAACAAACTGAGCCATGTCTCCAGCCCCTAAGACCATTTTTAGATTGAGGTTCTACTTGGCATTGACTACCTTAGCCCCAGACAAGTTTAATTGGTCATCTGTAAGCAGAGTAGGCTTGGCCCACCCTACTGTTTCTGAAGGTCCCATGGCAAGTGTCAGTGAACGTCTTTGGTCTTTTTGCTTGCTGAGCTCCGGTGACAGGTCCTACAGCTGAACCGGACCTGGTTGTCTTTCTAATCCTGCCTCTGTCAGCAATGGCACCAGGCTGACACTGCCTCGCTGTATCTCTCTCCCCTCGTCCAGAGGGTTACCACCAGAAGCCTGAGAAGCAATGTGCAGACAAGTTTTACTCTGATACCAGCTCGGACTATGGGAGCTCCTCGTGCAGTGTGCGTGCCAGCCGGGGCAGCTGGGGCAGTTGGAGCAGCAGCGGCAGTTCTGACAGTGACCGGAAGCCCGCAGTGGACTCGCAGCTCTTCCTGCTGTCCAGTGAGTGCTCCCGCCTGCCCAGCACACCCTCCAGACCTGCCTGTGGGACGGAGGGCTGCAGCTTGGAGGCTTTGCTGTGCATTTCACTTACTCTCTCTTGTTCCTCTTCCTTTTCCATTAATAATCGTTACTAGTACTCGGTGTCTATCTTGGATACAGGTCTCAAAGAGGTTTGTGTGTGTGCATTTGTTCTTTCTGTGGTAAAATATCTGTACCCAGAATTGTAATACTTCAGCTATTTTTAAGGGTGCAGTGCTGTGATGTTAAGTGCATCTATATTGCTGTGCGGCCATCACTCCAGCTATCTCTGGGCCACTGTACTGTTCCAAGCCAAAACTGTCCCTACTGAATAGTGATGCTCCATTCTGCCCCCAGCCCTGGGCCCAGAGCCCCTGCTGTGCCTCCTGCGCTGTCCCTGTGAACTCGAGCACTTCACCATTTCGTATAAGGAGAGTCACGCACACGGTTGCCTTTCTCTGTGACTGGCTTGTCCCACGCAGCATAACGCCCTCACGCGTGTCAGTGTGTTTTGTGACTGTGTAGTACCCCATGATCTGTGTGCACCATTTCTCTTGTTTGTTAATTGATGAGTGCTTGGGTTGCTGCTACCTTCTAGCTTTGGTGGGTAATGCTGCTGTGAATGTTGGCCCCCCCTTATTTGTGAGAAGTTTAGTGATGCAGGAGAGATCAAAGAAGCATGTGTATTTCTATCCAGAGTTAACTTAATTTTTTTACAATTTGCACTTGGTATTTTTTGTTTTGTAAGGAGAAAATACTTCATCATAATCTGTTTACTTCCCATCTCTGAATCACTGCTCTCATGAATGTGGTGTATACTTAGTCCATTTTATTTATTTATTTTTATTTTTTACTTAGTCCCTTTTAAATTTTACATTCGTATGTCTATCCACAGAATGTAGAATTGCTTATTTTTAACACATAAATGGAATCCCACTTTAACATTCTCTGTCTTGCTTTTTTCACTCAGCATTATTTTTTATAGCTGTGTGTACAAAAATGAGCTCATTCCTTTTGACTGATGGTCAGCGTAGTAAACGTCTACCTTCATGAAGGGGGACGGCCTTTGGGCTCCTTAGGTCACGTCGTGTGACCCTTGCGCCTGCCAGGTCGCCCCCGCAGGCCCAGGAGCTGGTGAGAAGGCGGCCAGTGATCCCGTTCCCGTCTCAGGTGTGGGCTGGGTGAGGCGTGTGGCCTGCTGAGCAGCAGCTCGGGCCTGGCCCTCTCTTCCCAGCACGGTGTGTCCCCATCTCCGCCCCCTTTGCTCAGCGAGACCTGCACACACCACAGCCTCCTGGCGCAGCCTCCTCTACCTCGTCTAGGAGCCGTAAAGCAGTCCTAGGGAGGCTGCCCGGGTTCTAGCCAGGGCACCTCAGCACTGGGGTCTACACCTTCACCCCAGCCTTTCAGGCAGTTTTTCTAATGACCTCCATAATATTTTAATACCACTGGTACACACCATGTATCTGTTCATTGCTGGGTACACTACTTTATGCACAAAAAGACTAGATTTTCTGAAGGTCCAAGGGACAGACCAGTCCCTCCTTGGCGGCAGTCCTACCTGTTTCCAGGAATGCAGGGACTTAGGTGAAGGGTGGCACTCAGGATCTTGCTTGGTAGTAGTGGGGATAGTTTTCTTGGCCATGGGAGGTCTGTCTTTCCCAGCTTACGGTTCACACAGTTCCATTTACCACCAGAGACTGAGGACTTGCCCACCAGTGCTAGCGTGAGAGTGTCTGTAGTCAGTAGAACATTAAGGGAAAATACAAGTGCAGCTTTTACTTGGAGAGGGTGAGGGCAACATGAGCTGAACGATAAAAATTACTAATGGTGTTGGGGTGTGGTGGTGCAGTGTGCAGTCTGTAAGTTGCATTGAGGGATGATGTAATTGCAGGGAAAGTCCTCAATATAGTAACAAATGGTGTAAAAGACCAAAAAGGGAAAGTATATATGGAGTGTGGTTCTAATTTTTTTACGTATAGATATATATAAAAGAGTTGTTAAGGCAGTATACCTAAGTGTTCATAGTGGTAATATAATGGTAGGGCATTTATAATTTTTCTTCAGACTTTGACTTCTTTTTATATATTTCCTACAAGGAGACATATATTACTTTTATAAAGGAGTGAGCACTATAACCATACAGCTATATTTCTTTACTCAGGAAAAAGGTTTTATTAAAAAGTTACATAATATTGATGGTTTTAACTCTTCTCCACAATGTAATATATTATTAACCCAAAATTCACAAACGGGTTGATTTTTTAATTTTGTTCAATGAAAAGATAAATTATAAAAGGCTTTTTAAAAACTAAATGACTGAGAATACCAGTTTAAAATGTAAACTAAATTGTTCATTGGGATCAATAATACTAATAATCTGTGCATCCTAATACAGAATATATACATTTGAATTTGTTTTATTTTTTGAAAAAAACTTGTAATTTTTTTTTTAATGCAGGAGACAGTGTTTCCCAAAATGATTTTCCTTCTGGAACTCCTCTCTCCCTGAGCCTTTCTCATCACATCTGCAACCCCACGTAAGCTTTCAGTCCTCCACCCTGTGTGTTACCGTGTGTGTACTGCCTTTTCTGTCAGTGCGTTTCTTCATGGTGCTTTGTTCTGCACGTCACAATATGAAATGTTTTAAGGATGCAGGAACGTAAAATTTAGTTATATTAACAATTCAGAAGAAATGATCCTGCCGAGGAAGCGGAGTTTACATGGATATACTTGGTCCCTCTATCATCTCAGTGATACGTTATTGCTGAAAGTAGAAAGAAAACTGCAGTGGTTACTATGGCAGTATAAATCATACACCCTTTGCTAGGACTTGACATGAAATTGACCATTGTTGATTCAGAAAATTGGTAAACATTCACACATTTATAACTCTTTATGATGCTTTCTGCAGCACTGGACAAAGTGAACAAGTACTTCTGTCCCTTGGTACTCACGAGGCCTGGGCTTCAGGACAGCACCAGAACCCATAGACACTCAGCACTTCCCTAAAACGGTGCTGTGGTTGAGTATAACCAACGCACATGTTCCTGTGCACTTCCTGTGCACTCATCTCTGGATTACTTCCAATCCCTGATGCAGTACAAGTGCTGCACAGGCTTTAGGTCAGGTTGTTTAGAGAAGAGTGAAAAGCAGCATCATCTACACAAGTTTACTGAGGACTTCACTGTCCCAGCCCCACCTGCAGAGTCTTCGTGGGCCATCACATAACTTTGGCCTTTGTGAATATTTTCAATGCATGGTTGGCTGAATCCCCAGATGCAGAGCCCCTGAGTGTGGAGGGCCCTCTGCGTGAGAAGAGAGTAGGGTAAGCAAGGGGCAGGCAGTGCTGTAGAGTGGCAGGTGTGTTTTTGGAGCCTGTCTCCTTAGGAGAAGGCAGGAGGATGAGAATAGATGGGTGAGTTTGCCAAGAAGGAAACTCGGCTAGCAGACAAAGAAAGCTCTTTGGAAACTTTTGTTAGAGGTGGAACATAAACTAGGAATTCCGAATCGCTGCTGCCTGGTCGTAGGCAGTTTTTAAACTGCAAGCCTACCTCACAACCTTGGTTAAGTTTTTTGTTGTCTTTTACAAAGCAAGGCTTTCCTGTATCTTGGAAGTTTAATGTCCTGTTTTCTGGCCGTGTGCCTTATGTCTCTAACTTCTGTATGCATCTTGGGAAGAATTCACGTAAAAACTGATCGCGTGTTTGTGCACGCGCGTTTCCTGCACAGAAGTGTCACAGTCCTCCTCTGCTCACTTTCCTCAGAGACGTGATTCACCTCCCGCCATATGCAGAGCCTTCCTGCCCCAGCCTTCCCGCTGAGCCCACAGGTGTCAAGGAAGAGAAAGGTGAGCCATCCCCCGCGGTGGGCGCCTGCCTGCTGCTCTGGGCTGCTTTGCAGCTGGGGAGTTTGTGATGAGACTGCCAGGGCCCTTCTCCCAGCCACACTTGGAAGCCCTGGGAAAGTGCCACTCTAACCGATGCCGAACCCCCTCCCTGCACCTGAGCTGACCCCCCTCCCCGCATCTGAGGCATGGTACCCGTTCCTGAGGCCCGGGATAGCCAGAGCCTCTGCAGAAGACTCCACTGCACTGCAGCTGCCTTAGTCAGCGGTGCCAGCAGAGAGGCCAGGTGTGGTCCAGGAGCGGTGAGGGCCACTGGAGAGCAGGCCACACCGACTCCCAGTCGACTTGCCTCTGCCTCTCCAGCTCACCCTGTTGTGGGAACCTGTTAACCCCGGCTGATGTCTGCCCCAGGGCTGAGACCAAGAGCTGAGCTCCCCAGATTTCCCTGGTGGGGAAGAAGGGGGCTTTAGAGTACAGAGGTAGTGATCAAAGGGCACTCTGGTGCTGGTGCTCCAGCCGGAGGTTGCCTCCAGGTCTCTGTCCTCTCCTTTCCTCTCCGCTTCTGGCTCTCTTTGCCTTGGCCTCTTATCTCCTGTATTATTCAGGGGGTTCTTTGCTGCCAAGTCTATGTCAGGCACCATGGTGGGAGATGCCCGACAGGGTTCCTGTCTAGTCGGGGTTGCACCCATGCAGCAGGAGCAGGGAGAAGTGGTGTAAACTTGCTGTCGTGCATGCCACTTGCCGTGCTGAACGCCTTTTGTCTCTGACCAAAAACCTCTACTGCTCGTGGCCTTGGAGGAACTGGTGGCAGGCTACTTGTAACTAGGGGAGGAATGGCATATGTTAAACACCGTCTCTGTGGCTCCCGTGTCATAGATGGTGGGATGGGGTTAGGGCAGAGCCTGGAGAGGTGCTAGGAAGTTTCTGTGATACAGCAAGTGAGACATGAGGCAGCCTGGAGCAAGGGGAGAGCAGGCACTGGGTTGCCCACATCACTCCCTCCCTGTTCTCAGTCGCGTCTTCAGTGAGGGGTCCTGCAGCAAGGCCTCGACTGTGCTCTCCGTCCCAGCGTGTGGACTCTCTGCCGTGGTGTGCTTCTTTGTTTTGTGACTTGTCCCTGTTCCCCTGAGCATCCCTGTTTCCTGCTCTGTCTCTGAAATCTGTCACGGGGCCTTGTAGAAAGTGGGCCCTCATGCCGACTGCATGCTCTTGTCATCCCGATCAGAGTGTGACCTGCACCCCCTGCAGTGAAGGTCAGAGCAGTGTGCCTCATTTCAGCATCTCGTCCTGACATAGCATCCTCAGGGGCGCAGCACAGGCCCGAATTGGTCGGCGTGGATGGGTACTGCGGGAGGGTACTTTCTGCAGGCAGAGAAGTTGAGCTGGGCACTGCAGGAGGGGAGCTGAGGCCGAGTCGGGAAGAAGGTGAACTGAGAGGCCTTACTTTCTCCCCAGGTCTGTACCCACCTGGAGACCTGTGGCCGCCCCAGCCAATGTGTGTGACGAGCAGCGTGAGCTGCGCCTTGGAGAACAGTGTGCCTGGCATGATTCAGGAGCCTGCCCCGGTCCCGAACAGGTAGGGCTTCGCTGGACGGATGGAGCCTTGCTTGGCCTCGAGGCTTACCGTTGCCTTTGCGTGGAGGCTCTTAGGTTGTCCTTACACATCTTAGGACCAGGCTGCTGCTTCAGGTGTGTGTTTTCTTTTACCTTTTGGGGGGTTGCATTGTGATGTTTAGAAAATAACAAAACAGGCATTGAGAGAAACATGAGGTAAAAGTTACAAATCCCCTGACCTTGTCATTATTTTTTTTTAAATTCAGACATGTAGCAAATTTGAAAAAAACAATCCCCACTCACTTAACAGAGGAAAAATTTCCTTTGTCCATGGTATATCATGCTTGAACATATTAAAAAATTCACAAGATCACAGAGTTTGAGCATCAAAAATACTTGCAGAGGGTGGCTTCTTGTAGTCACCACTGCTACTGAGCTGTCACTCAATTAGAGAACCTCCAGAGCATGTTGGTATCTTTCATACCGGAATCCACTCGCAAGTGTTTTGGGGATTCAGGGTGTTAGAACGAGGTTGCTGTCTCGCTCTTGAGCAGAACTCCAGTGTGCAGGAGTGGTCAGCGTGGCTGCGAGGTGGGGCTCCCGCACGGAGTGCTGACTGCTCTGCGTGTGAGGCGCACGTTCTGTCCTCTGAGCGTGGCTGAGCTCTCCCAGGGCTGCCGCGTCTCCGGGCCCTCCAGCCTGGACGGCCACGCCCCGCCGCCCCGCCTCAGAGCCTGTGTTCGGTGGTCACGGGACGCGCCCGCCTCCCCAGGCCATCGTCCTGCACGTGGAATGGCGCTGGTGATGAGCGTTTTCCCCATGGTTTGATTCTGCGACTGGAGAAAGGACCTATTTTATTTTCCTCAGTTGGAGAATTTGGGATGATTAACATTTTCTCCAGTAAAATCATTTCCTCCGTCTTTACACCATTTCTTGGCGTTTTGAGCCTGAGAGTAAACCTCTCTTTTTTTTGTAGCAGTTTCGTTGATTGGAGTGCAGCTTGCGAAGGCCAGTTTCCCAGTGTGTACTGCCCGCTGGAACTGAGCGACTACAATGCCTTTCCAGAAGGTAAAATCTGCTGAACAGTCCCACAGCTGTTCTTGTGTTCTCAGGTCAAGGTAGGAGGTGCGTGGCTTTGCACAGAGGGACCGAGAATGGTCACAGAGACACTGGGCTGCTCAGTGAGTTCACGCGGATCCAGTGTGCACGCCTGCCACGTGTCGTTTCATACGGCCCTCGGAAAAGCCCTTCATTTACCTGTCGGGGGCTTCTGCACGAAACCCTGTTCTCTCTAGACTCAGATGAGGTACCTTGAACAGGGCGGGTTGTCCACGGAGAGGAGAGGCTGGGGCTCAGCCGTTTACGGGTCATTTTAGGCACACAGGTCCCATCTGGAAGAGAACACTTGCCGACTTGTTCTTGACCTGACTCTTGCAGCCCTGGGGCACGGTGCCGTGGAGGGAAGGAAAGGAACCCGGAGGGGAGTTGTGGACAGGAGCAAGCATCGGTCATAGTAAATGAGCGAGGGGAGATTTCCCCAGCCCACTGGGACTTGCTCTCACTGTAGATGACAGGCCAGCTGAGCTCGCGTAGCAGCGTGGCCTTGGCGGGGAACGGAGGACCCCGCCATGTCCTGCGTCAGGTGGCATTCTTAGCCAGATTGTTCTCTGTTCACCGGAAGCGGGTGCTCTGGTAGCTCTGTCCTGGGAGTGGGAGGGTTTGTGTTTATCCTGATCATCTGAGCAGTGCAAGGTTCCCCACGGCTGTCTGTAGCGGCTGAGTCTGACATCATTTTTTTAATGAGCCACGTTTTTAGTGGAGTTCGGTGGTAGAGCACTTGCCCTCACATATGTGAGACTCTGAGTTCAGCAGGGAAATATAAGGGCTGGTAGGAATCGACACTATTCCAATTAGCATTTTAATGCGCTTTGTGTATTAGGAAGATTCCTGTCAAATAACCAACCACAGAAAAAGTAGCCCAAAGCAGACTGTGCTCACTGAAGGGGCCCCTCTGGCGTGTCTCAGTTGTAACCTGGAGACGCAGTGAAACGACCCACCTGGTGCACACGAAGTGAGCTGTTTCATGTCTTTCACTTGTCCACATAGTACGGCCTTTCACACTGGTTTGAGAGAAAACTTTTCTCCAGAGAGTGAGAATTCAAGATTTTTTTCTCCATGAAAATGTCAACCTATGTTATCTCCCATTCTTCGTAGAAAATATGAATTACACCAATGGGTTCCCCTGTCCTGCAGTTCGGACCGACTTTATCGATCACAACTCTCCGTCTACCTGGAACACAGAACCCAACGTGCCGGCTGCCTGGGAACACGCCGGCCTCGTCAGCTCGCCGGTAGGTGTTGCTCCTTCGCTGACCCGGGCCTCGGCTTTACTGTTGTGTTCCGGTCAGCCAGTGCCTGCGTGCCCCCGAGGCCTGGGCTGGCCACCCTCTGCAGGGACCTGGTGTGCGGTCACTCGGAGGGGGGCTTGCAGACGTGTGGCTCCCCAAAGTGAAACCGTCACCCCAAACTTTACTCAGCAGAGACTTTCTGGATAAACTGAACTGGGGCTGGGAGGCACCTAGTCACCTCATCTGTGACTAGAGAAGAAGTAAAATGCCCAGGAAGGTCAGTCAGGGGCCTCCCCACTCTTTTTCATATGAAAGGCATCTGCTTGTGAGTCTTCCCTAGATTATAGAGAAGTTTATCCAGTTAGAGGAGAATTTCACAGTCCGCCTTCAGAGAAAAATGGAGTTAAAGCAGCCCAGGTTGCGAGAATAGTTGTCAGTGCCTTTCTGGAGCATCGTCTGAGTCTCTGTTCTGTAACTGCCTCTCTCCCTCCGTGTCCACTTCAGCCCTACCTCAGCAGCACCCGAAGCTTGTCTCCAATGTCTGGACTTTTTGGTTCCATCTGGGCCCCGCAAAACGACATGTATGAGAATTGCTGCCCCGTCAGTCGCAGCACGGAACATGCGGCCCACATGGAGAACCAGGCGGTCCTGTGCAAGGAATACTACCCCGGCTTCAACCCCTTTCGTGCCTACATGAACCTGGACATATGGACTAGCACGGCAAATCGCAGTGCAAACTTCCCATTGTCCAGAGACCCGAGCTACTGTGGGAACCTGTGAAGGAATTGAGTTTTAAACAGTGTGAGTAAAGAGGTTTGTGTTTTGGTTTCTAGCGTAAACTGGTTGTTGAGATAGATTATGATGTTGGCGGATATTTTGGCACTTTTATATGAAAATAAATTTTTTTAATGAAATCTGTTTCTATTTTTTTTTGGTACCGGGAATCGAACTCACTACCTCACACTTGCCAGGCAGGCGCTGTGCCGCTGAGCTATCCTCGGCTTTTTAATGAAATCTGGGAGCTCTATTTTTTAACCCTTTTAATTCAGTGGCAGAGACTTTGTGCCCATGTTACAGCTTTCAAAACTCGAGGAGCGTGTGAGACACCCCAGTGCTTTCCTTGGAGCAGGGAGGCTTCAGGGAAGTAAGGGTTGGGAGGCTGGGTTTTTCCTCCCTGAGCGTCCGCCTCCCCTGGGTAGCTCTGACAAAGGGAAGATGCCCGGGCTCTGGTCCCAGTGCTTCGGACGGACCGATCCATGGCTCAGGCGATCCGGACCTTTCTATACGTTCTCGGCAGACTGACGGCGGTCAGGAAGGGCCAGCTTGGCAGAAGTCATCTGGATGCTACTGAGGCCAGAGGGAACTTCGCAGCCCTAATGCACGCTGCCTGCTGGGGGGAAGCAGCGCCTGGTGCCGTCCTCTGACCCCAGACCTGCTAATGGCAGGTGCTTCCCGCCCCCACCAGGCCAGAAACGGGGCAAAGCCAGCAGGCGGGCCTTGTGCTGCGTGCTGTACCCCTTCCCGGTGAGCAGGCTCACCCTGAACATGCGTGCACGGAGCGGGGCAGACAGCCGGGGCGTTTGCCAGACCAGGCCGTTGCTGCGTGTCCCAGGTTTTAAGTTCTTGTTACGGTGGAACCATCTACTGGCCATGTGTACACTTGCGAAACACCTTGAACTTTTAATAAAAATGCTGCATTTTTACATTTAGTTCTGTCTTTAATGCATATTCAAGTAGGGTGATGTTTGAGTAGACTGCTGCACGTGCTTGCTTGGGGTTTAATTCTTTGTGCCACGGTCGAGCAGAACCTGGACAGGAGAACAAACCAGGTAAACACCGTGTGATTCTGTGCAGGGCCCCACCGAAAGGAGGAAGGTAGACCGGCGCTTGCTCAGGGCCACAGGAAGCAGGGAGGCTGCTGAGTGGGGATGGGGTGTCCCTGAGGCAAGTGCTGGAGGGGAGTGTCACACTGCGCTGCAAACGGATTGGGTGTCCCCAGAAATGGTAAAGTGGTGTTGTATGTTACATATACACACATATATATTACCACAATAAAAATAACAGGTTCCAGGATCAAATGCAAAACTTTCCCACTAGGGAGAGTATACTGGGTGCAAGTTCTGCCCCTGAACTGTTGGTCTTATTTTTCTGCTTTGATTTTCCCCATCAGGAAAACCACAGTGTGCTTTTACTCTATACAGACAGTAAAAATCTTCATTCTATTGGATTACCCTTAGCCCATGGAGAACAATGAGGAAGCAGTTCACCTTCACTTCAGTCTTAGTACTGAGTGCCTCCTTGGGGTTAGGAGCTGCCCGTGGGGTCACGGGTACAGCACAGAATGAGACGGGGTCCTGTGTTCTGTCACATTCCAGAAGCAGGACAATAAGAAAAAACAAACTTGCAGTACTGCTAAGTGCTGTGAGTACAATTAAGGGGGGGTGGGGCGGGGGGAGAGGGCAGCAGGTCCAAACCCCGAAGGTTTGAAAGAGTGTGGATGTGGCAAGATCCGTGGGAACAGCTTTCTCAGCGGAGACGGCAGGTGCAAAGGCCCTGGGGCGGGCAGCCCACACTGGGGCTCCGAGCTGGGCTGCAGTGGAAAGAGGTGAGACGGCAGAGGTGGCCACAGGCATCCAAAAGCGGGGCTGGGTTTCACACGAAGCGCTGAGGCAGTGTAAGTGACAATGTTTCTTAAAGTCTGCAGGGACGGCTGAGCAGAGCGGGGCTCTGGCGC